CGCACTTTAAAAAAAAAAATTATATCACAACACATGAATATTTAGAGTCTACGGCGTACAGTAAGTTTCTCCCAAGAAGATATAATTTCTATAAATGTATATGGAAATCTATATTTAAGTGAAATTAGACTTTTACCCAGGCATTACTCGAGATTTTAAATTTATCAGTAAAATTAAGGAATCTTTAGGATTCAAGTAATTGAAAAGTAAAACAAAATATTTATAGGCGGTCTTTTGAAAGTGTAAATATGTAAAAGGAAAAACCAACTTTATGTCATTTAAAACCAATATAAATTGATGAGGTGCTTAATAAAAGGAACACATGATTGATATTCAAACTCTGATATAAAGGAGGATAAAATCGATACCTGACAGAATTCTGAACCGAAAATAGTAAGGACTAGTCGAGACATAATCATAATGTCCATCGGTACTATGCTAGTACGCATTTTCATCCTCGTTTCACCTCGTTTCACCTTAGAAGTAAACTTGACAATACTTTCAAAAAAGAAAAGAAAATGAACCTTCTTTCAAGAAGTGCACCGTTAGGATAAGGTTTCATATAGACAGGTCCTGAGACTCCTCTAACCAGCCCTAAATGTCGTCGGACAATTTCCACCATTTGATCTGGAGCCAGTTGGGGATTTTGTTGCTCATCTTGTTGTACCCTAGACGAGCATTGCTGCATAATCTATGTTAATATTAATCGACACGTTAGGCCTGCAGGAATGTTTACCACATTGGGTTGCATTAGTGCACTACTGGCCTTATATTTTCAATATTTGGCGCTTGACTAATCTGTCGACTAGTTTGATTTGCCAAATTATTACTACCCATATGATTATTTTGACCAGTATTACCATTGTTTTGGCCTTGATTCGAAGCTTCAGACCTTCGACAGTGTCTTACAAGGGGTTGAAAAATCTGGCCTAAATTATTTGCTTGACCCAATGGACTAGGAATATGCACTTGCACCACGAGATTTCCCTAGAATGGTTGTGGCTTTGGACGTTCCTGGTCTTGATATCACATCATTGACTGCATTGACGGCTATCGACTTGATCACATCTGACATTTGACTCACAATGTGGTTAGCCATGTCATTTTGCTGTTCCTTGAGCAATCTTGTTATAGTTGACGCCACATTACAGTTTAGTGCAACTTCTCTCAATTGCTCTTTTGTGAGATGTCTTAGAAGATCAATCTCTCCCTGACGGTTACTTTCTGCTGCTCTTCCAGAGAAGACTTGGAATGTGCGACCATGTCATTATAAGATTGTGGTAACTGATTGTTGTTGCCAGCAACATTATCAGTCTGCCATTGCAATTTCCGCAAATCAACAAAAGGACTCCCACCAGGCATGCCAAAAATACGCTTTACCCAAAAACGTGAAAAGCTTTTGAAGTATGATGGATCAAATTGAACTAACAAAGGTTATGAAAGGGTCATTTATTGATTTTGGACAGGATAGTAAATGACACGATGACAAAGACAATCAAAGGCTACTGACGTGTGTATTGATCGAGTAGTACTAAATGATATATGCACAAGCCGATATGCAAATGGTATCCTATCAGGTGTGATCCTGATATGAAGAGTCCTCTACCGCTATCAGAAATACTTTGCCAATATCAAAGGATCATTGCCGATATCTAAGATAAACAGTTGGATGGACCTTGGTGATTGGTGAACAAGCTTAGAACTTTGATGTTTAATAGAGCTTGAAAGGACCATGCGAGTGAATAACTGTAGAGTCACAATCATTGATATGATTGGAAGGACTAGAAGATCTAATTGCGATGCAGTTGTAATGATTATTGGCGTAACATAATATTGGCAATAAAAATTCTTTTTAGGTGAGGTGGGAAGACTATGAGAATACTGATAATCTTGGTGAGTTCAGTGAAGACAAAAAATTAGCGGGAATGCTAATGTCCTTGGAAGTATTTGAATGCTAACTCAATCAATCAATGAAGATGAGGAATCGGCGGGGATGTTGATGTCCATGGATGTCTTTGGAAGCTGACGAAGCCAAGAGGATCATTGGAAAATTGATCGCATGTCATTCCACATAGTTTCATTGGTGGGCAACATCAACAGACTATTGATAATCTGCACTCCTAAGGGACAGTGCAGATATAGATATTTAGAAAGTGGTTTTTGCATACTCATCCTATTATAATGGTAATAATGCCAATATATCTATTACAAAGGCTTGAAATTCGCAATAGGAGCACTGGAGTTGATTAGGAGTAGTTCTGACAATACTAAGTAGAAGATAGACTCTGACAAGAGAAAACTAACTAGTTTGGGAAAACTGCCACCGTTAGAGAGCCGTTCTGATGCTGGTGATCGACAGAGAGACGTTTTGCTATTGATGATGGCAAATGGCTACTTGAGGGTATTGTGATGTGAACGGTCATCTAAGGTTAGATGGTTATAAATTCAGTCCAAGAGAAGTAGTGAGGTTTGGTGAAAACAAACAAATATAGTCTATTGCTTTGAATGTTATTCTTTACTTTTTTTTTTTTTCGATAGTGGCTATTTGTTGTTTCTTTGAGGTGCTACTGAGTTACAATCCTGAGTAAGTCAAGTGTACAATGTAAGAGCAGTGGTTGTGTCTTATTAATGTGATCAATCGGTTGATAGGAGCAACACTTGCTGATTGTAACTTGCTTTGAAGATTATTAGTGGATTCTGACCTTGTTGTGATTGTTAGTTTTTAGAGTGGACTTAGGCTTTGCGATAAAGCCAAATCACTATAAATCTATGTGTGCTATCTTCTATCTCTTCACCGTTAGCATTACTTGTTCATTATTATCAATATCTTTTCACTAGTAGCACACTTGATTACGTTAATATCTAATGCTGGTGAAGTTTAACTTGTTATATTTCACAAAAGTTCTTTATAGTTCTCAGTCAACCTACTCCTTAGGTTGTATTGTTAGCCCAACAATAAAGGGTAGTGGAAATTATAAGTTGCTAGAAATGTAAATTATGAGGAAATTAAAGATAAAAAGGCAATTTGTAATTGATTGTGTGTGTTACAATAATTAGATTGCGGGCTTTTATACCCCACCCACCAAGAGTAGTTATTACAAATTTTAAATCCATAAATAACCTCTTGATTTAATTTGCAGTTACTATTTAGAAGTTACAAACGTAAGACACGACCTCTTATTAACCAGTAATAATTATCTACAAGAATTTTACTGCCAAAAGTATCGGCATAACCATTCAGCAGTTATGCGCTTGCGTCGACCCACTGGCACTATGTTTAATTGTTATGTTAGCAGGCTTCTGCTCATTAATTGCATTGTCTCAACACTTAGCCAGAATTCGGGATTGCTTGCTGTTGATGATTTTGTCGATCAGTCTCTCGTAAGTCCTAGTGAAGCCTCTTGTCGATAACTTTCACGCCATGTATTGTCGGCTTTCTTAATTGTTGATAAGTTTGTCCTGTTGACTGATGATTTCTGATCTGAGCAAACTTTATTCTTGCCGAACAAGCTACTTCCTCATCCATAATGAAAATTTGTAATCTTTTGGTGTCACCAAACACCAAACCTATCACATGCTAAATATTGCCCAGCTCTTGAGCCTTGTGTGGCTTGGGACAGGATAAGGCTGATTTGTTGGTCTCTTCCAACTTTCGCACTTCCCGCAAACTTGTGGCAGAGCACAAGGACGGACGTATGGCAGCTTTTATCTTCTTCTTCTTTTTCCTACCATTGGGCTAATTACCGGACCATATTGCTTCAATTAAGTCGAAACTGTACTATAATTCAATCAAGAGTTGATTTAACATCTGCCGATAGCTATCAGCACCAAGTTAAATGACAATGTAAATCGATTAGAGCCAACAATAAGGAATTGATCGGATACAAGGTTCCTCGCATCTCTGAACTATAATATAATGTCTCCGAAAATCACATTTATCAAATGCCGAAGTGCCAAGATCATCTGTCACAAAGTATATCAAGTAATCCAATCCAATCAAATGACGAATAAAAGTGGGACTGGGTTATGATTAGCATTCCAATCAATGTATTAAGCATGGATCAATCAAAAATCGAGAGAACTAATACTTGAGCTGAGAGGACACGCTTTGATGGGGGGCGACGGGAGATGTTGGCATTGGACAAGCCAAAAGCTAATTAGGGCTCCACGGCACATATTCACCCCTCACTCACTTTTCCTCTCATGTTGGTTCCTTTCCCTTCACTAATAGAACAACATGAGTTTTCTCACTACGCCAAAATTACGTCAATGCCCATGCATTTTCACTAAAAAAAAAATAGAAACAAAAAAACTATTCAAGATTTGAGTCTCCAAAAGAACCTAAGCCTCAAATCTCGAGTCGGGCATGGCTCGAGTCTCAACCTCAAATTAGGGTCGAATTGGGATCGGCGGCCGTAGCTGAGCCTTCCGAGGTCTTCGGTAAACATCAACCCCCCGAGCCGAGGAGTTGAGCAACAAGGGAGGGGGGCAAAATAGAGAGAAGTGGAAGAGCCATACGATGGATAGATAGGGGATCGATGGCATCGTTGTGCATAGAGGCTGGTGGTCAAGTCGTGGAAGGCATCTTGGACAAAAGGGATATTTGATTGTCACGTGACGCGAATTCAATGATGAAAAATGTGGTAGCACAAAGCGGGTGCGGTGCCATATAATTTTTTAATGTATTTGGCTAGTGACATACACTTGCTTGCCTCAAGGAAACCTCGAGGGCAAACTGGGCACCAGAAAAGGTAAAGAAAACTTCGAAGACAATGACAAAAATAAAGGGGAGAAATACTTAGTATCGAGTGCAATGCGTACCAGTGAAGCACACGGAAAAACAGAATCTCCCTTTTGCAAACCTCCTCCTCTGCACCTTCTTCGTCCTAATCCAACAAGCACTGTGCATCTTTTCCATTTATGTTTTTTCCAAAATGACCTGAATAAACACGGCTTGTCGTCCAAGGACTCTCTCTATTTATATCCCTAGTGCCCAAGTATAAATACAGGCACGCGCAGCACAGCACAACACAACACAACACAAGGCACCCTGATCACGTTGCACTGACAAAAAACCAGAACCCAAAAGACAAACTTGAGAGAGCAAAACAAGGCCGAGAGCTTCTCCCTCTCTCTCTCTCTCTTCACAAAGAGGAAGACCGTTTGCTGCTCCCACTTTCGTCAAAGATGAACTCCTCCACCACTGCCGTGGACGGGGGCTTCCACAAGTGGAACTCGCCGATCCCGTACCTGTTTGGAGGATTGACCATCATGCTGGGCCTCATCGCGGTCGCGTTGGTGGTCCTCGCCTGCTCCCACCGGAAGTCCTCGGCATCGTCGGCCTTGAGCCATGATCCCGAGGATCAAGCCGGGGCGAATGGCGATGACGAGAAGCCGTCGAAGATGGAGCTAGAGGACATTGTGCCCAAGGTGGTCATAATGCCCGGGCACGAGAATCCCACGTTCTTGGCGAAGCTTGCTTCGAGTTCAACCGCGAGCCACGACGGATGCCAACAAGTTTGAGCGATCATCATCGCCGATCAATCTTTCATTTGCTTGTGATATTGTATGGAGAGAGTGCTGGATTTTGAGATCCCTTTCTTCCTTTTTTTGGTTTTTCCATCGCTTTTTAGGAATTACATCGATTCTTTCATTTTCGCAAATATGTAAATAGAAGGATTTTTCTTTCCTATGTACATGAGTTGTGCTTCTTCTACTTCCTCGCCTCAGACCATGTTGCAGCTTTTAGACATGCTTGTATGTTTCGAATTTCAAAAAAAAAATGTGAAGATATTATGTACGATACGTATTAACATTTGCGTTTTGCGAAAGTTTGAAGGGTCTCGTTAGAAAAAATATCAAAGTAGGTGCGTCGCAAAATTTTGATTAAGCAAAAAGCGAAAGATAAAAGTCAAGCCACGCGGCTCTTAATTTAGAGGGATGAGACCTCTCAGCAAAGCTTTTTTAGAATTTTGATGTTACTAGAGATAATAAGAGAGTTCATCATAGCTTTTTGGTAAATGGTGAGTTACAAACTTATAAGTCGATTACTTTGGCACTATTACCATCTATGGTATTTTGTTTATTTTTTAGGATTTCCGTTAAGTCCGTCCATTTTTCGTGGACAAAATATCCTATACGTCCTTTTTCTTTATTGTTTCTAATACCTCGTAGCTACAAACACGGTAATAGAGGTTACTCAAACATGAAACGCCGTCGTTTCAATACTGCCACATCAAAAATTAAATTTTTTTCTGGACATAAAATATTAAATTGAACATTGAAAGAAGCCTGAAAATTCAAAAAGAAAAGAGGACTTGCGACTGTGAGAGATAGCATTTTCCCTTTTTTTTTCTTTTCGGGTGAGGGAGGGCCAATTCGAGCAGTGGAGGCACCATGCCTTGCCACCACCGAGCGGGGGGGCCACCATCGCTCGAGCAAATAGGAGTGGCGTACCCTTAGCGGGAAATTTCATTTCTCAAGGTCTAGTTATGGTCTTTATTTGTAAATACTTTAGTCCCACAAAATAGCTAATAATCCACAAAGATTTAGATTAAAGAAAATTTGGAGATTACACAAACTCGGATATGGAACTTAAGAAAGGAGTGGAAAATTACAAGGAGACAGATGAGAATGGCAAATCTTTAATCTGAACACCTCTTAGGAATAATAAGAGATAATTGAAGAACAAGGTTATAACCTAATGATATTTCCTGAAATTAGACGCCATTGTCAGCAGACACCATGATCCCCTTACCCCAAGCATACTCATAAGGATCTTATTAGGAAAGTACTCTAATCAAATAGCAAAGTGTTCTTGCTTTCACTACATCAACGGAACTGGTGATACGCACAATCAACCTCCGTCAATTTGAATGATCTGAATAACATAAGCGAAACTTGGCTGCATTGGTCCGGCTAACTCTGCTGGTCGGAATAAAAGAAACCTCCAGTCTGTTGGTAGATGCACCTCTTTCTTCCTCCTTTCGAATTGTTTATTACGATTAATGGACAGAACTTTCTTAAACAGAAAATGGCAAGCATTTGCTGTCGCCTGCGTCCACACATTCCGTACAGTTACAAAGACTGGAGCTCAGTTTGATGTGGGAAAGGGACAAGTCAACTAACCCAATTGTCACATTGAAGGCTGTGACACAACAATATATATTCGCCTCGTTATCATAGGAATATAATTTTTTGACCAAAAAAAAAAATCAATCATAGGAATATAATTTTTTTATATATCTTATTATCGGATCTGACAGTTCAGATTGAATTTAATATATATACTAGCCTCTTAAGAGATTTGATTTGATTAATTTACAAAGACGGACAATTCAAGAGGATTTGAGCTTGGGTTTGGTGATAGATTTTGTTTGATAAAACTTGAAATTGAGACATCAGAATCGACTCAACTCCTGTGTTCAATCCGAAATGTTCCTCCCCCACCCAAAAAATAAGATATCGCCACTTTACGATTAGTTTTGACAGTAAGCTGCTCTCAGTTGCTTGTTTGTGCATATACGTAGTGGAAATGAACATTTGGAATTGCCACGGTCGGTTAAGACATTGAGGGATTTTTACTTGGGAACTAAGGGTCACCCTATTCAAATATCATCGGCTACGTTCAAATTATTTTGGGTCAGATTCACCTACAAAAGTTAAAGGCCTTTGGCTGGTTGATGGGATTTGTAAAGTATTTCACAGGCCTTCGAATAAACGGTCTCCTATGCACATGCCCTGATTTTAATACATATTCGAAATATACCTTGTGTTGATCCATAAAATAGTTTCTCCCCTCCTTACTGTAGATTATAGTTCAAGTTGATGTTTACCACTTATTACAAGTCAAATCACAATTTATGTCCTGTTTCTTGTGATAACTTTCGGTTCAATTTGCAACCTTAGCTACCAGAAAGCCATAAAGAAGATGTCTACCATTCTATCTCGGATAAACACTAAGAAAACAAATTGAATTCTTCCCAATCCACCAGCAAAATAAAAGGATAAGAAAATATAAAGGAAGGAAGAAAACAAGGGGCAAATTCCAGCGGTGAGGCAAAGGTTGGCTCATCTTTTTTCTCGATTGGGCACGACTCCAAAGTCTTAGTCAAGTACCGAATGGGGTCTTCATTGGGTCTTAAGGCATAATTAGCAAACGAAGTTTGACAAATTGGGTTGAAAACGTAGCATTTTAATAATGTTTGGGGGCTAATGGGATTAGGTTGATGATGAAGATACGTGGGGGCTCGGAAATGCAATTTTCGGGTTATAATTTTGGCAGCTGTTGCTATCTGGAGACCATCGGAAAAACGTCAGGTTCTCACGTTAGAGACAAAGGAGCAAGTAAAAAGATAAAGTAAAGGGTCTTACTAATAAGTGTCTTGGGGACATTTGTTAATCATATTTGATAGAAAATTTTTTCAATTCGTAACGCAGTGATTACACATAACACGAAAGAATTAATATTTCTTCATTGGTTTCTTAATAAGTGTTTCGGGATGTTTTTGAAAAATACCAAAAGAAATAGGGAAAATTCCAAATAAGAATCAGAAGTTGAGTGATTTTCTCAAATAAGGGCATAAAGTGGATTTTGTTATAAATAAATGCATGAAGTGGCCAAATCGGTCTCAAATAACGCACTTGATTTTCCTACCGACATGCTCAGACCCTTATTCGAGACTGACTTATTCACTTTGAGCCATTATTTGGAACTGACTTATCAACTTTAGGTCCTTAAAAAATGATCCTCCTGTAAATTTTCGCAAAATTAAGGTCCCTCTCTAGATGGGGGGCAAGGAAAGAATAAAATTTTCCAAAAGAGAAAGTGCATTCCACCTCATGATCTCACTTGGGGACATGGGGAATTATTACCATGTCCACTATGATCCTTTCTATATGCGAAAATTGCGTTGGGTCTCTTTCGCAAGTTTCACGAGAAAATGACCTGAAATGATTGTCTGCCTGCGCCGTCAAAGTCATCCTCAAAGTTGCCTCGGCTCATTTACGGCTGAGCCGTCGAGTTTGTCGAGTCGTACTACTCTTGAGTCGACCACGTCCAAATTGCGTCTGGTTTTCAGATACACACGCCACCTCCTAATTGATGTCAGACCCGCTCGGAAAAATTCGTCCCGTCGTTAATAGATAACTTTTTTTTATCCCTTGGAATTTTTCCTTTTTTGCTAAAATTAATCCCTTGGAAATTTTGACATCGAATGGGTGTTCTTAAATTTTTGAAAACAATAAAAAGAACTAGTTGATTTTGTGATATTAGTCGTGGAAACCCGGCTATCCCGAATACCTTCGAGTCGATTGATTGGGCTTCGAGTCGACTTGGTCCGATATTAACAGTCCTACGTGTTTCGTAAAAATTATTTTGTTAGATCAATATTGCAAGTGAATATGATGTTAGAATTAAGAGGAAAAAGTACAAAAAAAAGTCCTAGATCCTATTGTATTTGTATCACTTTAATTCTAAACCTTTCAATAGGACCAATATAATTTTAAATCTTTCCACATTGATACTAGTTCAGTCCATCTAACCAATTTAGGCTGAAAATCCCTGACATGGACGCCGGGCGTCTTACGTGATATGGTCGGCGTTGACTTAGATATTTTAATGATATTTTATTATTTTTTATTTTCTTTTTTCTTTATTTTTTTCTTTTGTTTTGGCCAGCAAGGGTTGCGTGCTGACAAGCCCTCGTTAGCCGCTAGCGAGGGCCAACAAGCCCTCATTGGCTACTAGCAAGGGCATGAATGCCCTCGCTTGTGGCAGTGAGGCAAAGAAGGCCAAGGGTGAGGGCACTATGGCCTCGTCCAAGGTCATCGTGCCCTTGCCGGCAGCGAAGACGCTTGCCCAGGGCCTTCACTGCCCCCCCACCCCCCGAGGGCGCAATGGCCTCGTCCAAGGTCATCGTGCCCTCCCCAAGCTCTAGGCAAGTGACCTTTGCCTAGATCTAGCGAGGGCTTGCTAGCCCTACAGGCCAAAATGAAGAGAAAAAAGAAAGAATAAAGAAAGAAATAATAAAAAAAGAAAAGAAAAAATAGTAAAAATTCAAAACATTATCAAAATATTGTTAAAAATATCCATGCCAACGCCGACCATCCCATGTAGGATAGTTGGCGTCCACGTCAACGATTTCTGGCATAAATTTGACGGATGGATTGAATTGGTACCAATGTGAAAATGTTTAAGGCTAAATTGATAAACTGAAAAATTTATGATAGAATTAGTACTAATGTAATAGATTTATGACTTTTTTGGTACTTTTTCCAAATTTTAACAGTAGTTGCCCGTCACTAACTAGAAGGATATCTCAACAATTACGTCATCCAGCAATTGATGAAACACCGAAAGGAAGTGATTAGTTAGTGCAACACTAACTTTAATTATCTGGGGAGAAAGATTATATTTTATTTTTGACCTCTATATTTGATTAAATAGAGAAGGAACCAATGTTAAACATATTTTAAGCTCTGTTTGTTTTGCAAAAAATAAATGATTTGTAAAATACTTTTCTAAAAATGATCGTTTGTTTTGTTTGAAATAATTAGTTAATTGAATATGTTTTCACTATCGAAAATAATTTATATCTAAATATTTTCGTATATGATGAAAATATTTATTATTTATTTATTTTTGTAGACGATATAAACGATCTTTTTTAGAAAAATATTTTTAAATTATTTATTTTTCGTCAAACAAACGGAACG